ACCCTGCTACACCTCCAGCTCCTTTTTGTTTCTTCTGAGGCAGGGTCTCACCAAGTTACTAAGTTACCCAAGTTCAAGGGTTGCCTGGAACTTAGGATCCTCCTGCCTCTGCCTGCCCCAGTTCTGGGTTTGTAGAGATCCCCAGCACATACTTTGCTTCTTACCAACCTATGCAGTGCTGTCGAGTTCAAGCACCCATCAGAACCAGCTGGACTGTTTGGTACAAATCAGTGCTGAGCCTCACTCTCCAGAACTTCTGATTCTGTACTTCTGAAATGAGGCTTAAGCATGTGGATTTGTAATAAGCTATAGGGTGAAGAGGAAGCTACTGGCCCAGGGACATTCCTGAGAGATTTCCGTCCTAGATGATGTTACCTTCCTGCTCCTTGGTTTAGCCCAACCTGTCTGCTGTGTGTTTTCTTCTATACGAAAGTTTCCCCTGATTTTTTTCACCTCCAATGTAATCACCTCCAACACAAAAGCCACCCAGTCCACAACTTCCTGTGAGTGTCTCACACTCTGGCTTTATCTTCAGCCATCCTTCGCCTTACAAGTCTCCAGGAGTCTGTTTCCCACAGTCTGGCATCTCACTGAGAGTTGGCTCAGGCCACTCTGTCACTAGAATATTCCAAGTGCCTAGTAAGGTAAACATGAAGTCTCACAAATTTTACTCTTGTGCCAAAAGTAGATCTGCTGGGACTCTCAGTAGGAAATCCACAGTTGGCTAGCTAGATTTTTTAATAGTACATTAAAATTAGGATTAAAAATATGTACTGATAATATAAAGGTATTCATTTAACATTTGTCTTTGTACTTGGGGGAGTACACTACATTTTAGAAAAAAATCTGTAGTGTTAGACCGTATGTATTTTTCCTGAAAAAACACTAAGGCATTTGTCACCATGACACTTACATGCTCCTAAAGTGCCCCTAATGTGGTCCTTTTTAATCCCAAATTCCTTACCTAGTCAGAGGGACATCATAATCCTGCCCAGATCAGACTACCCCAGGAAGGATTAGCAGAGCAAGACCAGGAACTGGGAAATCTAGTGCTGTCAACAAAAGCTGCCTTCCTCCCATATGCTAAAGCAGCTGTTCCTTGGGATTATGAGGACACGGAACAAAGCAAGCGAACGATGTCCCTGCTGAGGTAACCTAAGCTATAAACCCCTTTCCTTACAGTAATCTGTGCAAGAGACCAGAGTCCATCCAGTCACTGCTGCACAAGCTGAGTACTTGCTGATAAATACTCTTGCAGCCCATCACTACTGGACTGCTGAGTGGTGCTGTTGTTAAGTGCACACGCTTCATGACCCTGCAGAGTGACACTATTGGAGAGTACACATGTCTCTTGTAGATTTTGCAGAGCTGTGTCACTGTTGACACTGTGTCCCATGTGGACGTTGGGAGAGCAGCGCTGCTGAAGAGTATGCAGCTCTTGTGAACCTTCCGAGGGCCACCGTTAGGCCCCTGTGTTTTCTTACGGGTCCTCCCCAGGAGGGATCAACTAGCCCTGTCCCCTGTCCTTAGTTTTAAACTTTGTATTTCATAAGCCATCTCTTGGCATTTCTTAGTCTCTCAGGAGCCCACTCTGCTACCCTAGCATAGCTGGACCATGGCCACACACCTTATTAAAAACTAAGAATTGTGAAAACTTGTAACCTACAAGATGTGTCCTTACAAGATAACCTCACTTACTTTCCTATCACGATTCCCCCATAGAACTCTAAAAAAGAAAAAAAATAAACCCTTTTCACTTTAAAGACATAAGTAGCTGAGAAAGTAACACTTCTAATTCTACAGCTGGGATTGCAGGACAGAACCCTATTTTTAAAATGTATTACTACATTATAGATGGGCCTGCCCCTTAGCTCAGTTCTTTAAGTGGCTGCTTCAACAAAGCAGTCAGGCTCAGGTTGCTGTGGTTCGATCCCCACAGCACAAGCCAGCCAAACCTGCCCTGAAGGCATTTGGAGCCAAAAAAAAAAAAAAAAAAAAAAAAAAAAAAAAATCCTTCTTATTCAAATAACAGAACTTAACAAAAAAAGGGGCTATAGATGAATGTTCATTTTGTGTCTGTGTATTCAAATTGGTTAGGATAGATATATAGTTACATTCTCTTAATGAATACAGGGATTTGTTCTAATAGCGTTTGTAAATAGAATATCATGTCCGCATCTTGTACAGCAATTAACCACTAAGAAGAATGTATGCAATGTATTAATTATTGAAACTGTCCTACCAATTTGGTTTGAAACTGTCCCATTGCTATTTGTTTCTCAATAAAATTATGGGGGAAAAACACATTGATTTGGGCAGAGAATAAAAATACTAGAGGATCTACATGAGGATTGGAAATAAAAAAAATAAAAATAAAAAATAAAATGCATTGCTACACTATTATAAAAGAAAGGGAAACAGACATACTTCAGGGGTGATGGGGAAGAAAGATATCAAAGAATAGAGTTGGGTCTAAGAAAGGGCCTTAGAGCTTAGCAACAGAATGGTCCATCGGAGGTCCTGGTTATTTAATTCCCTGTGAACCAACTCTTTGCATATGAGCTAAATCACACATAAATACACTCTGATCTGTATATCCAAGCGCTGGAGAAAAATAAAATTTAGACTAGAGTAGAGAGTCTAGGAAGGAAATGTGTCTACTGGGAATTAAACACATTAGCGTCATGAAAACAGCCCATTGAAAAGCATGATCAGGGCTCAAAATATGTGAATATCTGTCATCCCAGTAACTTTGGGTTTCCTAAGACTCCTCGCCAGAACACTGTACCAGAATGTTTCAACCAACCCAGGCTTCAGTGAAGATGACCTCTAGAGGGGGCAAAGTGGCCGAAAGGAAGTGTGAAATCAGGTGCAAGTCGCCTCCATGCTGTGTTAAGGCAAGATTCTGAGACCTTCAAAATCAGCATGCTTTCCTATGGCTCCATGATCATTTTCTTTTACATATTAATAAAAATTTTATTTAAAAAAAGCACAATACCTTTTGGGTGAGCCATCCGATAAAAGGATATTTACATATTTAGATAAGAAAATCAGTAAGTGAAGGCAAGGTAAAGGTAGAAGGGAAATCATATAGAGATATAGGATCAGCTGTGCCCTGCCCCCTCCTGTCATCATAATGTTTGAATCGAATTTGAACTTGAAGTTCCAGGATATTACTCTGTCCAATTTGTTCTCCTGAATGTGTGCCCAAAAACTAAGGCATGTGTGTAGCAGCAGTTCTCAAATTGTGGAACCAAAATCTCTTAAGTGACCCATAAAGTAAGCATTCTGCAGTCAAAGAAATTTGGGGAATATTTTATCCCTGTTTGAAAGTATTAAAGTTTATGAGAAATCCTGATGCAAAGCATCCCATTTAATCACCATTTTATTTTGCGTTCCACTTATCCTTTCATTCAGCAGTCACTGAGAACCTTCTTGGTGTCATGCAAGGGGCGTGTGAGACATACTGTTGGCCCTCAAAGGCTTCCTGATACCAATAAATGCCCTCTGAGGCCCTCCTTCTCCACCCGTGGTTCTTGGGCATTCCAGTGTGCCCAAGCCTCAGGTTCTATCCCCTCCCTAGAATGGATTATCCTCAAAATTCACATGGCTTCCTCCTCTATACCATTCAGGTTGCTGCTCAAGAGGGCATTTCTTGGTCATCCTTTTAAAATAACATCCACCATCACATTTGAATCCTTTATTCTAATGACTTGCTCCCACAAATCTATTTATTTATTGTCTTTCTAGCCTCTAAAATGTTAATTCCGAACTCTTAAGGCTGTGACTGGAAAATAGAAGGTACTGACCATTGGCAAGTTGATTGGTAATGAAAACAAAGCTATTGCTTCTCAGAGCTTAGATTTTAGCAGACTATATTAAAATACATTGACATTGTAACAGTGTAATAACTGTTATGTTGGCAAGGAATATAATGCAATGAAAGAATATAGCACTGGTAGGTACTTCAGTGATCTGGAATGCCTCCTGGAGGGCTTGACTCCAGACTAAGGGCTGTGATATTCTAAAAGCTGAGAGAAAACACTGTTCATTTGTGAAATACAATGAGTTCAAGTTGTCCTACAAAGAGCAAAGCAGCATACCTGTGAGACAAGAGCCTACAGAATTAGCAACTCCTTATAAACGTGACAGAGTTTAAATTTATTTTCCTGTAGGGTCAAGGGGTCATATTAAGAGTTTTAGGCAAAGAAAAGTAAAAAACACTTTTGCATTTCAAAAACATTAGTTTAGATGTAGTGTAGAGAATAGATTGAAAAATACCTGTTCAATGTTATGTCTAAGATGTTTGATATTCAGACAGATAGTGAGGTTAAGCTCAACTGCCTATGTTTTAGGGTAATAATATCATTAAGCTTCTCTTCTGGAGGGCTAACAGCTTAAGTTTGCAGACCAAAAATTAAAGAAAAAGAAGGGCTGCAAGGACAGCCAACATTTTGGGCCTAGTCTTTCAAAGTCAGTGAGGACTCAGGACATAAGAGAACCTGTTCTGTAACATCTGTAACTCAGTGATGTCGCAAATTTTCTGATCAAGGAGATTATGGGGCCACAGAGGAAAGTGACTGATGATGTAGAGTGTGCCTAAGGAGAGTCACATGGAAAGAAAACATCGTCTCAGGCTTTCACAGAGAGCACATTGGTCAAGGGGTGGCCATGACTCATCCACATGGCTGACACTCACAAAGGATCTACAAATTGCGGTACAGGGTTTCAGGGTAAATCCTGAGGGGATTTGACTGACCTTGTCAGATACAGAAGTTGCATTTTTTGTTTTATAGGTCTTGCTTTGTCTTGGCCTTAACCATTCAGCAGAAAAGTATAAAAACAAGGTATAAAAAGTAAAACCATATTAATATGATGAGCTGTAAAAGGCTCAAGTCAACAACTTTGGACATTGCCAGTCCTATGGATAACCCACTACTATTATGGACTACTGGACTATATTAGAATATTTTGCTGAATTCACACACCTACATTATTTAAATCATGGGCCCAGGGAGATGGCTCAGTGTAATAAACAAGCACAAGGGCCTGAGTTCAATCCCCTTTTCTGAAAAAAAAAAATCTTTATATATAAATGGCAATGGAATATCCATCTCTGACAAAACTAAGCAAAAAAAAAAAAGGAATATAAATGAAGGATCACTTTTTATCTGCATATACAAAATAGTTAAGGTAGATATACAGCTACTTTCTCTTAATTCAATGAGAAGAAAGATTTGTACTAATAGTGTTTGGAAAGGATATCATGTCTTTATCTTGTACTATGAATAACTATGACAAAGACAACAATATGCAATGTATTAATTATTGAAACTGTCCTACTAACCTGCTTTGAAACTGTCTCATTGCTATTTCTTTCTCAATAAAACTAAAAAAGAGAGAGAGAGAGAGAGAGAGAGAATAGATTGAAAGAAACATGGACAGGGGCAAAGAAACCAGTTGTGGAGATTATCACACAATTTAATTCATGTATGACAATAGCTTATTCAAAGATGAAGGTAACAGATAGACAATTGATAATTTATAGAATTTGATGACTCATTGAATCAATGGGTAAACTGAATAACAATACTGTTCACTTCTCTGGCATTAATACTGTGTAGAATTAGTATACCATGTAGTATATTATCATAAATGCAAATCTACAAATATTACTGAATCAGGAAGCATTGCAAGCAACATTGAAAAGCAAAAGGTATTATTATGTACAGAACTTCACTGATTATATTACTTTTAACAAATAGCTCTCCAGGTGAGCTCATGCATCTTACAAGCATCCTACTGACTGAGCTGACTGGTAAGATTGGACCTAATTAATTCATTCAACATCAGTTGACATAAGACACCTTGATTAGAGTTTGGTCTGATTCAAAGTCTACCTTCCTGTTGTCCTTATTATATTTGAAGGCAGGTTTACCTGTGGAAAAGTCTCCATTCTTCCTTGCTAAGATAGGAAATGTCTCTGTTCCTGGTGCTCATGTGGGTCAGAGCCTCACAGGAAATATGTGGAGGCTTCACACAGTAGAAGGCTTCTTGGTCTCGAGCATCCAGGTACTCACACAATTCAGCACTTGAGTTAAGGGTCAGGCCACATTCAGAAAGGACTTGGGAAGTGCCATTGGCAAACCGGCCTGTGAAGATCACCCTGTCGTAACCTTGGTTCCTCGCCCTCCAGAGGGCTGACGCCCCTTCACTGGGGTGCATGAGTAGCACAGACAGGGAGACCTGGCCCTCCCAGAACAGAGTGAAGCTGACAAGGTAGGTGCCGTTGTTGAAGTCCGTCACCCTCCCTGACGCACCGGCCTTCAGGCCTGCGGAGGACATCCTGGCCTTCAGGAAGTCCCCACCATATTCCTTCCTGCGTCCCAGGTGGTCCCTCACCTCCAGTCGGACATCCAGCTGGTCCCCCCTGCAGTACGAGTCTCGAGGGTTCAGGAGGGTGGCCACACTGTGAGCAGCACTGGTGGTGGCATTCAAGTATGTGAAGGGTCTGGGTGGGGTCAGCTGGTGCATTTTCTCCAGGATCTCCCTGATTTGCAGTTCAGTTTCTGTTGGTGAAACCGTTGGGTTCTGAAATGTTTCAGACTGTGAAAATCTTTTGAAAATGCTCCATTGTTTCAGGATGGTGGGGTTTCTCAAGTGGAACAAGAA